CCCACTTGCAAAAACAAACAGTAATGGAATTTTCAGTGATCCTCCGGTACATAAAGCTGTAAGTTCTCTTTCAAAGACGTCTCTGAATCCCGTGTTGAGTGACATCGGCCATGTTGGCATTACTGACGCGAACGATCATCAGCATAAATAAAAGAGCGTAAAAATTTAACAAAAGTAAAAGTTAGAAATTGTTAAAATTCGGTGACTTGCAATTCCTTGCTGTTTCCTGGTGATCAATTGCTTAAGTCGACGTCCTTCATTGAATAGAGTGGAGGACGCACGGACAGGCATAAGAAGGTCTTGATGGAGTTCCAAATATATTTATTAGGTGTTTTTTCACTCTCTGACACGAAAGAAGAATGAACTGTGCCTTCGCGTTCTTCCTGCGGGGTAGGCAACTTGATTGTTTCTGAACACACGCCGTGTTTGAACCCACACTTTCGCATCAGTGACCTCGTACCACGTTAGTGCAACAGTGACACGCGTGATTTGGTGTGAATGTGATTGATGTCACTGTGCTCCAACGAGTACACCTTAAAAGCTTTGTTTTGTTGACATCTGTGCGGAGGAATTGCAAACTGCCCAATCCGTTATCCTATTGTCCTCTTCATTTAACTGGAAATGGGATGGCACTCGGTTTCCATGTTTAAAACATGCGAGCGACTGCAATTCTTCTGATCCTGGGCATTGCATCGACGTCTGATGGTTTCAGTCTCAGACTGTCCAAATCAAACTGCGCAAATTCCACGTGCGCCATTATTACTATTCGGCTATGTTTAGCAAACGGCTTAGGTCTGAAGTTAAATTTGGATTTCATTTGCTAAGATGATTAATTCTATAAATGCTCTAATAGTCATTTGTGTTAATCGTAAAGCAGGTGACTTTGCGCGTGTGTGTGTTTGGGGGGAGCGGAGGTACATTCTTAACCTCGGCACTAGATGGAGGTGAGTGGTCAGCTTCACGCCCCGGCCGTGCTTTACCCACGGGAAATGACCCCAGTGCCCATTGGGTGGGGCTCAGAGCCGGTCTGGACGCAGAGGCTAGAAGAAAAATCCTCTGCCCCCGTCGGGTATCGAACCCCTGTCGTACAGTCTATACTGACTGAACTACCCCGACTCCATATATAAAAACTGTTGAATACAATCGCCCAGACTTACTAAGCTACAACATAAAACAGTCTTTCGATCGGAACTC